CTGGTTCTGTGTGACCTTGGGTTAGTTACTTAAACTTTCTGAGCCTCAGTTTTCTCATCTGTAAAATGAAGATGATAGAACCTAGTTTAGAGAGTGGTTGCTAGGATTGAGTGCGTATATTATCTATCTCAAGCACTTACAACAGTGTCTGGCACATAGTAGGTACTCAATATATGCAGGCTGTTTTGAAGAAAATACTACATATGTTCATGTATAATAGAGGTATTGAGTCTAACCTTTCAGATTTCTTTTTTTTTTTTTTTTGAGACGGAGTCTCGCTCTGTGGCCCCAGCTGGAGTGCAGTGGCGTGATCTCGGCTCACTGCAAGCTCCACCTCCTGGGTTCACGCCATTCTCCTGCCTCAGCCTCCCAAGTAGTTGGGACTACAGGCGCCTACCACCACGCCCAGCTAATTTTTTTGTATTTTTTTAGTAGAGACAGGGTTTCACTGTGCTAGCCAGGATGGTCTCGATCTTGTGACCTCATGATCCGCCCACCTCGGCCTCCCAAAGTGCTGGGATTACAGGCGTGAGCCACTACGCCCAGCAAAGATTTCTTTAGTATTCTGATTCCCTCTCTGCTAGATTAATTATATAAGAATAGTGGCCTTCATTGTTCATTTATTCCCTTAGGAATGATTGCATGCATATTGTATACAATGTAAGAATTGTGATACGAATAAATGCAGAAAAAGTCTTGTGTAGTTTGTACCTTTATGACCTAATGTAATGTCATAGTTTAATTTTTTAATCCTTGAAGCTTAAGAGATTCATAAAAAGGGCTGGGCGTGGTGGGTCACGCCTGTAATCCCAGCATTTTCAGAGGCCGAGGCAGGTGGATCACAAGGTCAGGTGATCAATACCATCCTGGCTAACACAGTGAAACCCCGTCTCTACTAAAAATAGAAAAAATTGGCTGGGCGTGGTGGTGGGCGCCTGTAGTTCCAGCTAATCAGGAGGCTGAGGCAGGAGAATGACGTGAATCTGGGAGGCGGAGCTTGCAGGGAGCCAAGATCGCACCACCGCACTCCAGCCTGGGCGACAGAGCGAGACTTCATCTCAGAAGAAAAAAAAAGAGAGAGATTAATAAAAATGAGCCAGCCCACAGGCCCCGCCCTTGGCATTCTGATTAGGGTGCCATTAGAGAATATTCTCTAAACTCTGTAAACTCTGGCAAACTAATAAGGAGGCCTCTCCTCTCCCAGAGTAGAAACTGCTGCTGTTATTATTAAGCCGAGCTCCACATGTCAGTCACCTGGAATCAGATAATCAAAAAGAAAGGGTGTACTGATTTTTAGCTGCTTCCTCCCCTGGTCTTGTTGCCCCAGTGACTTCAGTTCAGAGAGAACAGCAGCTGTCAGATTGGAATTTCCCCAGCCTCAGTACAAACTGGCAGAGGGTTTCTTAATAGCCTTGCCATACATGTGGTGCCTGGTTTTTCTCTCAGTGTACAGAGCAGGTATCTGAGGGGAAGGCAGTGCCCACTCACTTTGGCTGTCGTGAATCACCAGAGCTGCAGGCTGGTCATGTGATCTCTGCACTAGGAGTCAGGTGGAGTACCCCAGGCCCCTGTCCAGAATGGAGCTTGACATGTATGCTAAAACCTCTCTTAAGGCTCCATCCAATTAACTGCCTAAATCTTTGCAGCAGTTCGACATCTATTTAGAAATGCCCTTTGGTCTCCCTGTTTTAGATACACAACAGAGCCAGGTGACTTTCAGTTTCCCAGGACTCAAAATGGAGACTGTGGAGAATCACTGTCAGAGTAAACGTTAATGGAGGGCTGGGCGCGGTGGCTCACGCCTGTAATCCCAGCACTTTGGGAGGCCGAGGCGGGCGGATCACGAGGTCAGGAGATCGAGACCATCCTGACTAACACGGTGAAACCCTGTCTCTACTAAAAATACAAAAAAAAAAAAAAAAAAAAAAGCCTGGCGTGGTGGCAGGCGCCTGTATTCCCAGCTACTTGGGAGGCTGAGGCAGGAGAATGGCGTGAACTTATTAGGCAGAGCTTGCAGTGAGCCAAGACCGCACCACTGCACTCCAGCCTAGGCAATGGAGCGAGAATCTGTCTCAAAAAATAATACTAATAATAAAAATGGCAAGTGTTTCTCTCAAACTTGTATATAGTTGATGCTTGAACAGTGTGGGGGTTCGGGGTGCCAACCCCCCCACGGTTGAAATGCCACATACAATTTTGACACTTAACTTGTAATATTTTGACACTCTGAAAACTTAACTACTGATACAACCTACTGTTGACCAAAGGCCTTACTGATACACAGTTACAATAAAGTAAGCTCGAGAAAAGAAAATGTTACTAAGAAAAGCATAAGAAAGTGAAAATATATATACTATTTATTAAGTGGAAGTGGATCATCATGAAGGTCTGCATCCTGGCTGAGGAGGAGGAGGAAGAGGAGTTGTGGACTTGCCCTCAGGGGTGGCAGAGGCTAAAGGAAATCCACATATAAGTAGATCTGCACAGTTTGGGCCCGTGCTGGCCAAGGGTCAACTGCAATTGTTTTGAGTATATTTCTATATTTTAAAGCACTTTACCTTTAAAAAAATAGATACAAGGCAGGGCGCAGTGTTTCACGCCTATAATCATAGCACTTTGGGAGGCCAAGGTGGGCAGATCACAAGGTCAGGAGTTCAAGACCAGCCTGGCCAACAGTGAAACCCAGTCTCTCCTAAAAATACAAAAGTTAGTCAGGCATGTTGGCGTGTGCCTGTAGTCCCAGCTACTGGGAGGCTGAGGCAGGAGAATCACTTGAAACCGGGAGGTGGAGGTTGCAGTGAGCCAACATCACACCACCGCATTCCAGCTTGGGCAACAAAGTGAGACTTTGTCTCAAAAAACAACAAAAAAATAGATTTGAGGGTACAAGTGCCATTTCGTTACATGGATATATTGCGTGGTGATGAAGTGTGGGCTTTAGTGTGCCCATCACCCAAATTGTGTACATTATTGCTTTTTTTTTTTTTTTTTGTAGCAAAGTGGAAGATGCATTCTACAAAGGTCAACTCAGACTGAATGAGGAAAAATTATGGAAGAAAAGCAGAACGGTGAGATACTAACCTAAAATGACAGCCAGATGTTTTCATCACTTACTCTGCTAGTAACTGAATTAATGCTGCCCCAAATTTTCCCTCTGGCTCCTCTTCCTTCTCTGAGGTCCTCTGTGGTCCTCCAGCTCAAGCTGGTGGGAATCAGCTGCAGGCTTCAGACACAGGCACTTTCACTTTTGCAGCCTTAATGACTTTCTGATGAAGCTTCTCCCTTTTAAAATTTTAGAGTACGCCACTGTTCGAACTGGCAGAAATCCATTAATTAAACTTCCAGGTCATTAATGTTAGCCCTCATGGAATCCACATAATCAGATTTCAAAGAAACATGTGATCCATGTAGAGTTGTTCTTTGGCCAGTGGTATCTGAGCAGATGTGTAGTTCTCTACAGCTCAGCAGTACCCAGTGAGTGCTTGCTGGATGCACAGCTTTGTGTGCAGAGCAGCTATAAAAAATGATGTGTTCTGTATTTTCTGACAAGTCCATATCAATACTGTTGTTAAGTGAAAGTCAGTTACAAGAAAATGTGTTTCCAGTCTCCGCTTTTCTAACAATAAATCATATATAAAAATTCACAGTGGCTCATGCTTGTAATCCCAGTACTCTGGGAGCTGAGGCCTGCGGATCACTTGAGCCCAGGAGTTCAAGACAAGCTTGGGCAGCGTGGCAAAGCTCTATTTCTACAAAAAATACAAAAACTTAGCCAAGCGTGGTGGCGGGCGCTTGACCCAGCTACTTGGGAGGCTGAGATGGGAGGATTACCTAAGCCTGGGAGGTCAAGGCTGCAGTGAGCCATAATCATGCCAGTGCACTCCAGTTTGGGTGACAGAGTGAGACCCTGTCTCAAAAAAGAAAAAAAAAAATTCTGTCCAGGCACAGTGGCTCACGCCTGTAATCCCAGCACTTTGGGAGGCCAAGGCAGGCGGATCACAAGGTCAGGGGATCAAGACCATCCTGGCTAGCATGGTGAAACCCATCTCTACTAAAAATACAAAAAAAAAAATTAGCTGGGCATGGTGGCGGGCGCCTATAGTGCCAGCTACTCGGGAGGCTGAGGCAGGAGAATGGCATGAACCCAGGAGACAGAGCTTGCAGTGAGCTGAGATGGTGCCACTGCACTCCAGGCTGGGCAACAGAATGAGACTCCCATCTCAAAAAAAATTCTGTTAGAAAATATGTTTTTGTAAAAGTAAATTACATATATATACACATCTGGAATTACAATGCTGCTATTACTAGTATTTATCTTTAAGTGAAACATGGATTATGTTAATTTTCTTCATGCTTTTTATTTTCTGAATTTTTTTACCATGCGTATGTATCACTTTCATAATTGGAAAAAACAATACTGTTAATAAAAGTTAACAAAACACAATAAAAAGGTATGACAGAGACCCTTAAAAAGTGTGGAAGACACAAGACATGTGAGGTGTTGGAAGACATAATCTAACTCCGTGTTCAGGGAACAAAGGTTCCAGAGAAGTTAGATGTACTTTGGAGATTGTTTTGATTTCATCTTTCATATTTCAAAATATCCCTGGGGTTGGAGGATCCAAGCTACATCCGGTTGCCCTAGGACATGGGACATTGAGGCTGTCAGCTGTGCATTTGGGTGAGCACTGAGGCTTCCTGCAGTCCTTGCTAGCTGGGATCATGCAGGTTCTTGCAGCTCTGTGGGCAGAAGGAGGGAAAAGTCCCCCATGCTGTCTCAGCCCCCAAGTCCCAAGGCACTGGTGATGCTCCTGACTTGAACCGGCAGGCTGGGACTGTGGCTGTTAGCTGTTGCTCAGTGAGCTGCATGCAGTCATAAACCCTTGTCATCTCTGAATTGCTTTTTCCTCCTTTAGCCTGCCCTCCTTCTAAGCTGCAGTATTCCAAAAACAAGATGTGTTCTTGGAGTAAAGAATGATTACTCCCTGAAAACCCTGTCTCTCTGCTGGGGTCTCATTTACAAACCCCACTAGACTATTTTTCTCCCCCCACCGTTTTGTGATGTTGTTAACTACAGCCTAATTGCTGCTGCCTCATTCTGCCTTGGGTGTTCTGTTGTCTCAGCTGCCTTCCAGGTTTCTTGTGAGGGTCAGCAAAGGAAGGGGGCATTATTAACACTCAGCTGTCTTGTTACTAGGAGGCCTGGTAGCCATGGAAACTGCAGCTAACTGGAGATTTGAAATGTAGATATTTGGAACAGCCCCTAATCCCAGCCAGTTTTGCTTTGTGTCTGCTGAGGGACAGGGCTGTGGAGGGGAATAAAGAATGCCTCGCCTTCCCTGGTCGGCTCTGTGGAGCCAGTGCCTGGCTGCTGACCCCAAAGGGTCAGGTGCTTGTCTGATGCAGCAGCTCTAACCCTCGCTGCCTGCAATTCAGCAAAGCTTTTCTTTGAGCTGAAAACCAGGTGAAACCCAGGGTGTGGTAGGTGTTGGGTAATTGTTGATTAAACAGTGGCTGTGTGGTGCCCAAGTATGGGGAGTGAATCCTTCCTAAACTCATCTCTTCCTGGGATCAGTCGGGTAAAGGAGGAACACCCCTTCTCTACGCTACAAGGAAGCCCCAAAGGGATTCATTCCTTAGCCACACACTAGCCTGCTCTTTAGAGAGGCAGACATCATGCACAATATCTCTATGAAAGGATATACATAGAGTATCCTTTTCTTTGTATATCTTCTTTGCTTTTCTTTTTCCTTTTCCTTTTTATTTTTATTTTATTTTAGAGACAGGGTCTTGCTCGGTTTCCCAGGCTGGAGTGCAGTGGTGCAGCCATAGCTTGTTGCAGTCTTGACTTCTGGGCTCAAGTGATCTTCCCACCTCAGCCTCCCGAGTAGCTGCTATGACAGGCACACCACCATATCTGGCTATTTTTTCATTTTTTATAGAGACAGGGTCTCACTGTGTGGACCAGGCTGGTCTTGAACTCCTGACCTCAAGTGATCCGCCCACCTTGGCCTCCCAAAGTGCTGAGATTACAGACATGAGACACCACACCTGGCCTATGTACCTTTTCTTCATATACCCTTTTGTATCTTCTAAATTTTTTATCGCATGCATATATTACTTATTGAAAATGAATTGTAGGCCAGGTGCAGTGACTCACACCTGTAATCCCAGCACTTTGGGAGGCCAAGGCAGGCGGAACACTTGAGACCAGGAGTTTGAGACCAGTCTGGCCAACATGGTGAAACCCCGTCTCTACTAAAAAAACAGAAAGTTGGCCGGGCGCGGTGGCTCAAGCCTGTAATCCCAGCACTTTGGGAGGCCGAGATGGGCGGATCACGAGGTCAGGAGATCGAGACCATCCTGGCTAACATGGTGAAACCCCGTCTCTACTAAAAAAAAAAAAAAAAACTAGCCGGGCGAGGTGGCGGGCGCCTGTAGTCCCAGCTACTCAGGAGGCTGAGGCAGGAGAATGGCGTGAACCCGGGAGGCGGAGCTTGCAGTGAGCTGAGATCCGGCCACTGCACTCCAGCCTGGGCGACAGAGTGAGACTCTGTCTGAAAAAAAAAAAAAAAAATTAATAATAGTTTGAATGAAATAAGGCACCCTCCCTTTCTTTCTTTCTTTCTTTTTTTTTTGAGACGGAGTCTCCTGCTGTCGCCCAGGCTGGCATGCAGTGACACGATCTCAGCTCACTGTAACCTCCGCTTCCCGGGTTCAAGTGATTCTCCTGCCACAGCCTCCCGAGTATCTGGGGTCACAGGCACCCACCACCACACCCAGCTAATTTGTGTATTTTTAGTAGAGATGAGGTTTCACCATGTTGGCCAGGCTGGTCTCGAACTCCTGACCTCAGGTGATCCACCCAGCTTGGCCTCCCAAAGTGCTGGGATTACAGGCGTGAGGCACCACATCTGGCCAAGGCACCCTCCCTTTCATGCTGAGGCACTGGGGATAGGTGACAGTGACCGAGGTCAGGGCCTTTTCTCACCTGCCCCTCCTCTGGATCGTGATCATGTGGTGAAAACTCAAAGCAGTAGTGTTTGCATTGGTCTGGATTTCCTGAAGTGTAACCAAGCCTCCGTTTTCTTTTAATTTTCAGGTGAAAGTGGGAGATACATTGGATCTTCTCATTGGAGAGGATAAAGAAGCAGGAACGGAGACAGTTATGCGGATTCTCTTGAAAAAAGTGTTTGAAGAGAAGACTGAAAGTGAAAAATACAGAGTGGTGTTACGGCGGTGGAAAAGTTTAAAGTTGCCTAAGAAGAGAACATCTAAATAAATGGATTGCTTTTTGGCAATAAAGCTGCTCTCTAGTGGTAGAGGAAGGGGTCACCTGAAAAAGAGGACATTTTTATTAAAATAAAGTTCTCTTAGCATGTGTGGAATCTGCTGAGCCATTTTGTAGAAACTAGGATCCATATCTGGAGACACTTCCCAAGGCCTGCCTTACCCCCACCCCCTGCCCACCTTGATCCATGCCCCTTTGACCTCCTCGTGTGAGAACCCCTTTGCCAGAGTGAGACGTGTGCAGAATGAACTAAGCCCCAGAGGGTTTTAATGGCTTGCCTGCTGTTTCCCACATAAACTACCTCAGGAGTCATTGTAAAATAAACTGGCCTTGTTGTCTCTTAGTGTTTTTATTTAAAATGTTCCCTGTCCAGCGGGGCCAGCTTCCCAGGTTCAGGTTTCTTTAGACAAAACCAAGCAAAGTCAAGGGTACTTTCAGATGTTAGGGGATAACCTCTGGGAGAGCCCTTTCTCCCCTGCCCTTCCGAACTACCAGTGGCAGGGGACCTTAGTTCCCTTCAATTTGTCTTCACAAGTCTGGATGAATAAAGTTTTTCCAGCTAATTTCAAACCAGCTAGTTAGAGCCCATTTGAAGTTATTAGTTTAGGGCAGGCAGGGGTCCATAAACGAAGGCAGCCAAAGACTTGTGTTCTATGGCCCTTGAGCCAAGAATGGTTTTTACATCACACATGCATGCACACACACACACAGCCAGAGACCTTCTGTGGCCCACAAAGCCTAAAATATTTACTTTAAAAAAAAACCTTTTGGCTTGGCACAGTGGCTTACACCTGCTAACAGGGCATTTTGGGAGGCCAAGGCAGGTGAATCACTTAATCCCAGGAGTTTGAGATCAGCCTGGGGGCAACATAGATTTCATCTCTCAAAAAAAAAAAAAAAGACAGATTTTTGTAGAAGGGGGTTCTCACTCTGTTGCCCAGGCTGTCTCCAACTCCTGGGCTCAGGTGACTGTCTCACTTTGGCTTCCTAAAGTGCTGGGATTACAGGCATGAGCCACTGTCCCTGGCCAAAGTCTAAAATATTTACTATCTACCCCTTTACAGAAAAAGTTTTTTGACCCCTAGTTTAGGGTAATCAGTAAGGGTTTAATTTTCGGGTGAAAGTAAACATACCTGTTTTATCAATGAAGAGAATAAAACCAATTCTAATTCTCAAAGTGTCATAAAATGGATGAAGGCTTACCAGAGTAGTGTGGTGGGGTAGACACACACATAATGTACATCATCTAAGAAAGGACCTATGGATGAATAGGCCAGGCTATAGATTCCCAGGAGCTGTTTGCTGGCACTTGGAGAGGTTACCTCCAATAAGAGACTTGTTAGATTATGTCACATCAGAAAGACTGGCCCAGGCACAGTGGCTCACACCTGTAATCCCAACACTTTGGGAAGCTGAGGCTTGAGGTCAGGAATTTGAGACCAGCCTGGCCAACACGGTGAAACCCCATCTCTACTAAAAATACAAAAATTAGCTGGGCATGGTGGCAGGCACGTGTAATCCCAACTACTCAGGAGGCTAAGGCAGGAGAGAATCGCTCGAACCTGGGAGGCAGAGGTTGCAGTGAGCAGACATCGCGCCCCTGCACTCCAGCCTGGGCGACAAGAGCAAGACTCCATCTCAAAAAAAAGAAAAAAAGACCCTGTATCTGGGCTCTTATTTGTCCCCCAGGAATTCCTGAGAATCCTTAACTGGCAGTGAAGAGAAACTTCTGTAGCCCAAAGCAGTGGGATGTTTGGGCTCATGTGTCTGGAACTGTTAACCAGCTTATTTATTTATTTATTTATTTATTTATTTTTTTTTTTTTTTTTT